CACATTGGCACAACCTCTGGTTTACAAGACATTGCAATGCATTCGAGACTGAGCTACACAGTTTGAATGTGCAATATTTTATTACTTTGGAGCTTAATTAGTCTCGCTCCTTCAATATTATTATCTCTAAGATGGTAAGCCTAACAATGCTGATGGAAATTGAAAACAGGTGAAATCATTAATTAAGAAAGTTACAAATTATAAACCAGTTCGCAGTTTACTTAGTTTAATTCAAAAACTTTTTTAATTAAGAAAAGAAGCCCAATACAAAGACATCACATCCCCTTTCACTGATCAGGTATATAATTTAGTGCGAATAGTAGTACGAATTATAAAGATATTCACAGTATAATATGCGCCTAAAATTAAAAAAATTCAACCTACTGCGTTCTAAAAACAAGACATGACGCATTTTTCTTCGAGCTAAGTTGAATGGTAGTTGCAATAGTTTCAAGCTACACTCAGAAAAATAACATAATGCGTATATATCCACCGCGCCAAAACAGCACATTTAGCATTATTCAATAAGCTTTTATTATAATAAAGTGAATAATCTACCTTTCTTTAGTACGTCCTGAAAATTTCAATGACATCCACCATAAAATAACGACGATATACCCATTTAAAGTTACGAAATACAAGTTTCGCCATATTAGTTTATAATGTTTTGGACCAATTTTTGGACCAGAGTTGGTTGCTTTCAACATTGCGGCCAAGACCCCGGAAGTACCAATTTCAGGGTTGGTAAGTTGCTGAATAAATAAGCCAAATATTATTATCATAACCTTTGTTTCCTTTGTTCAAAACAAAGACATCAAAGGGCCGTTTATAACAATGTTTGGCTTATGTATTCAGCAACCTACCAACCCTGAGTAACATGTGCCGGCACAAAAACTTCAAAGGTTCCGACTCGAGTGAAGCTTCTGCCCTATTTCTCTTCTGTGCTGCTGCTAATTACAGTTACCTTTGATGCCTCACGAATGTGGGACATCAAAACCATGCCAGAGCGCTCAAACTGCAAGAAGTGAGCGTGTGCAATGCGTAAGTGGCTTGGCTCATCCTGCTTAGGATGGTTTCTTGCACTTCACTTGGTGGAATTATTAGAATGTTAGGGTAATATGGAATGCATTGCAATGTCTAATATTAATTCCACCAAGTGAAGTGCAAGAAACCATCATTGAAGTCCACCTTATCACAACCCGCACACCCGATTACCTATATATACATGATCTTACGGTTACCGCTCAACAGCTAGCCTCTGTAGCTCAGTTGGTTAGAGCGCTGCACCGGAATCGTCGGGCCGTAGGTTCAATTCCTACCAGAAAACCTTGTGCTGCATTTTTCGCAGTCGTTCCTGGTTAGATCTTGAAATGTATATATTCTCACTTGGATTACAAACCCTAACATTCTAATATTAATTCCACCAAGTGAAGTGCAAGAATCCGTCACTGAAGTCCACCTTATCACAACCCGCACGCCTGATTACCTATATATACATGAACTTACGGTTACACGTCAACAGCTGGCCTCTGTAGCTCAGTTGGTTAGAGCGCTGCACCGGAATCGCAGGACCGTAGGTTCAATTCCTACCGGAGGACCTTGTGCTGCATTTTTCGCAGTCGTTCCTGGTCAGGTCTTAAAATATATATATATTCTCACCCTCATCCTGTAGAGCGCTCAATATGAATAAAGGCCATAGAGCGATATCTAACTACAGACGGTACCGTTTCGTCCTTATGGGCCTCATCAGTGTAGTGCTACCCTGGTTGCCAGAGGTTCTGTATCTTTCGCCTTATTCCCGCTCGTATTTATTTTACGCGAGGCGAAGAGAACCTCTGGTGGCACGCGATATAAATCTCTCTTCCTTTGGTACAAAATTTGTACCAAGCACATGATTGGTTAGTTATAATTAGCAGTCACATGAAGTGATGTGATTGGCTAGACAAAAAAACCTGTTTATAAATCTCAGAGAACATAATGTAAACAAACACAGAAATAATACGAACGTATTAAAATGCTTTGCTTGGTGTGGGTTATTTGAGATTAACTTAGTTTGTTCCGCTATAAAAAGATTTTCTGTGCTGGAGAAGAGCTGCCATCGCGGCATGACTTGAGTTGACGGCATGACATGTTCACTCTATTACAGTATTAATATTTGTATGATAAAGTGTTGGTCACTTGCTTTATATCGTTCAAGGCTTTAAATTTTGGTAATTCTTTGACTTTAATAGTTATGAATATGATTTATTTTGCCAATATTTTCCCGTTGTCTGTTAAGAAAACGTACATACTGGCTCCGTTGCACACACATATATAAATATTTATATATTTATATTCTTTCACTTTTGACTTTATACGTTCGCTAATACAAACGGCATTCCACAAATTTAACAGTCAGTAAGGTTGCTTTTTGCTTTGAGCGTTGCGAGAATAATCTACGACTGCATGTTTCTAATGAATAATCTGCGTGTTTGGGCTGCTTGTTTTTAATATTTTACACAAGGCTGCCAAACAGTCCGGAAGAGAGCTATTTTGGTAGTATGACAAACCCGGAAGCTTAAAAACGTCACAAAATATAAAACCGGTTTTCCAAGTTCTCAAACGGCAACGTCAGCGTGGAAGAGAGATTTGTATCGCGTGCCACCAGAGGTTCTCTTCGCCTCGCGTAAAATAAATACGAGCGAGAATAAGGCGAAAGATACAGAACCTCTGGCAACCAGGGTAGTGTAGTGCTGATGAGCAGCATGAAAGTAACTGCTATTTACTGTTGCATTTGATGCCTCACGAATGTGGGACATCACAACCATGCCAGAGCGCTCAAACTGCAAACAGTGAGCGTGCGCAATGCGTAAGCGGCAATGGCACATTCTGTAGAGCGCTGAATATGACCTAAAGGCCATAGAGCGATATCTCACTACAGATGGTATACCATTTCGTCCGTATGGGCCTCATCAGTGAAGTGCTGATGAGCAGGATGAAAGTAACTGCCTCACGGATGTGTGACATCAAAACCATGCCAGAGCGCTCAAACTGCAAGCAGTGAGCGTGCGCAATGCGTAAGCGGCATGGCTCATCCTGTAGAGGGCTCAATATGACCTAAAGGCCATAGAGCGATATCTAACTACAGACGGTACCGTTTCGTCTTATGGGACTCATCAGTGTAGTGCTGATGAGCAGGATGAAAGTAACTGCTATTTACAGTTACCTTTGATGCCTCACGAATGTGGGACATCACAACCATGCCAGAGCGCTCAAAGTGCAGGCAGTGAGCGTGCGTAAGCGGCAATGGCTCATCCTGTAGAGCGCTCAATATGACCTATATATATATATATATATATATATATATATATATATATATATATATATATATATATATATATATATATATATATATATATATATATATATATATATATATATATTTAATTATTTAAATAAAGTACAAAACAAACGTTGTTACTCAGAGTTTCATGCCTGAGTTTACAGACAATCTTCGGACAACTCGAAGTTGTCCGAAGATTGTCTGTAAACTCAGGCATGAAACTCTGAGTAACAACGTTTGTTTTGTACTTTATTT